CGAGCTAGAGCTTCGCAGAAAAAAAACGAGCATGCTGCTCGTCACGAGAGGAAGCCGATGATACCCAATTTTAAGGTCCTAGGTCATCGTTTGAACTTCCAGGTCAGGTGACAGGTCAATGACCCAAAAGTCGGGAAAATTGGGACCTGTTAGAAAGTCGTAAAGTATGGCTGCTATAAGGTTTTTCGTGGTGCTGATCACATTCACGCTTATCATGTTAGTTTTGGCCACAGACGATGTCTTCATGCATTTAGGCCAGGTCGGGTCAGGTCAGGTCAGGTCAACCAGTAGGGGTCCTGCCGGGCATTCGTAGTAGGTGTCAATCGCCTCTGACAGCTTCGTAGCATGTTACGAAGGCACCAAAACTACTTTGTAAATGTTCAAATGGTTGCCAAATTCGAATGCAGCTCCAAAAAGTAGCCTAGAAACGTATGTGCAACTCGAAAAGTGAACCGAGGTCATCAAAGGTAAGGTCAATGACCTGACCTGGCCTTCGGGTGACCTTGACACCCACCCTAATGCATGGGAACAACCGTCATATCACATGTGTGTACGCTTGAAACCGCGAAAAGACTGCAAACGCGCGGCTAATACGAGCCGATATACGCTGAATCGCGATTCCGGCCAAACATGGCATCAAGAAATATGTTTCAGGTCAAAGGTCATTTGAGTCAGAGTCATGAATTTTTCAGAGTATAAGTAAAATTGTGTGGCTCGAGGGCACTAAAAGTGTTGTCGCGATCCACCGCTTTTTACGCGGGTTACTATTTACTACTTCCTTGCGAAAAACCGAGGGGCCCGTTCGACCCCTCCCCCTATACGGGCGAGGGTTAAGCAGTCCCTGGAGCACTATTATATGGTGACTTGCCAATTGCCATCGGAAGCGGTTGCCGCAGAGACGAAGTACCAAAGTACGACGTGTTGAATAAAATCAGAGAATCAGAATATATTTAAAGCTCATCCAGACAATCTCTGGTTTTTCACGTGCTCGCGCCAACAATATGGGCAGAAGACAGTAAACCGGTAAAAGACACGACATGGTTAACCCGCGAATGACTGGGGAGGGGGGGAGGCTCTACAGAGCCCTCCCCACCCGTTTTTCGGCAACATCTTCTAAACCGTTTGATGGATCAACACGAAACTTGCGGTGCCCTCAGTGGCATCAATTTGACCCCTTGTGTTAAAATTTCAACTTTCTAGCTAGTAGCTACCATAGTTTGGCCGAAAATGACGTCAGAGTGACGTCATGTCGGCCGATTTTGATGCAAAATATTGAATTACGGCAAACGCTCTCAAGAGCTAAGTTTTAACACGCGCACCGACGGGGGGGTGGCGGATATCCGCCCCCCCCCCTGAGGTTTTTCGCGGATAGCGGGAAAACCGCGCGAAATTTGATACGATTATTCTCTCATCAATTTTACACATGGTGTGCAAGTTCGAACCTCCTAACTTTGAAGGTCAGGTCACCAGGTCACTTTGAATGACCCAACCTCAAGTCACTTTTTTGCAACTTTGTCACCGTGCCAGAGCTACAGTAGATGTCGGAGGCCTTTGAAAATCGCAGGATGTTATTAGGTCATTAGTAGCTACAATTTGTATATCTCGGAATTTTGATGTCGGTGACCTAAGGTCAGGTCAATTTCGCGACCTCCCCATTATAAGTCAATGGGGGAAAATCAACTCCCTGTTTTTACCACAAAAACGGGTCGGAATGGCCCCATATACCATACATGACTTCATATACGATCAACCTTTACTACCTTGAGGTCTGTTTTGCTGTTGGGCAGCTGTAAGGTCATGTGACGTCATCAAAGGTCACCAAAGGTTTTTGTGCCAATAACTCCGTACAGGAACAAGATACAGCCGCGCGGATGGTCTCATTGTGTTCAGCTCGTCAAGACGCATCGAATGATATACATGATGACCTCGAGGTCACGTGACCTGAGGTCAACCTTTGACCTTGGCCTTTCGAGGTCAACATATATATCATTCGATGCGGATTGACGAGAGGATCACGATGATGCCCTTAGTTTGTTCCTATCATGACTAATTCGAAAGTGTTTCGAGAAAAACTCTCTCCATATCTAGCGCCGCCATTTTGACTTTTTCGACCCCTGTGACGCCATCTTTGACCTGACCTGAAAATGACCTTTGTAAAAATTGTAGACCTTGTCCGTGCGTATCCGATGCCGTTTACCGCTTGTCGCTATCTTGCTTCGTTCTCGAGATCTCAGGGGGGGGGGGGGTCATGCAAAATTTCATCTTCAAAATTTGACCTTTTCTGACCTGAAAGTGACCTGACCTCCGGTAAATTCAGCTGGAAATGACCTCAAATGACACAAATGACATTTTTTCGAAATCTACGAGTAAAATGGACCATAAAACGTGCGTCACGTGACCGATGTATGATATACAATTTTCGTGACCTAGGATGACCTGGCCTTGACCTTAAAAAACAATTTGAAGTGAAAGTTCGGTACCCCCAGGGTATCTAAGGCATATATCACAGAGTGCGTAAACCAAAAATGAGCCTGATCGAACTCGTCAGCCGGCGGTCAGAGCCTAAATTGTGAACAAGCAAGAATGCCAACAATTTTTACTTTGACCTGACCTGTGACGTCATCGGTGACCTTGAGGTCAATGAAAATAGGTTTCACGTGACAGTTTTTCCAGGGCTATCAGACGCCGTTGGAATTTTGACTTTTTTGAATTTTGGTTCACTAGGGAAATAAAGGCGTCGTTCGGAGGAAATTCTTCACGTTCAAATGAAGGGGTCATTTGAATTGCTGATTTTGGCTCGATATAGTTAGCCCTATTTTTTAGCTTCAGCCCCATTTATCGTAATGAGGCGAACTCATTGTTACATTTGTACAACTTTTGATGACACATAATCCTTGTTTTTTTCTTCAGCTCGCTCGAAAGCTGATGAAATTGGCATGCATGCTATGGGTGAAGGGAGATTCTACCGCCGTGGTGACGTCACGGTTAAGGGATTCTGGAGCTCGTGAACGGGGGGGGGGGCTGTGCAGGTCTCCCTAATGTCGTGCGGCATGGCATTAAACGCGCTGGCGGCTCGATAGGCAAACCTTCGCTTGCCAGACTCGGCTTTGACACGTGGCAAAGCAAGGTGATCCTGTCTGGTCGACCTCGATCTCACACTCGGCGCGGTACCAAACAGGCCAGCGGAGCCGCTCGGCTGTCCACATGGGTCAGGAGCAGGACGGCTTTGATTAAACACAATGTGCGGTGCATGATAGCCGTTTTCACGACGGTCTATCCGGCGAGTGCACCTGATTTGACCAAATCTGCACCTAATCTCTTTTACAGCAAATATCTTCATTTTATGAATTTATTTCAGTGTTTTAATCGATGATGCTCTCTGATAATACGACAAAGCAGGCATATAAGCAAATAGTGTCACCCTAGCTGACAGCTACTAAGAGACACGCTGAACCTGATTTGACCAAATCTGCACCCGATCTGCACCAGATGGGTACCAAATGTGTACCAGATGGCGGTCGTGAAAACGGCTAATACGAGGTCCTGGGCAGGTAAACAGTTCAACTCAGCCATGGTAGATCACTTACGTGCTCACGTCTCACTCAGCCATGGAAGATCACTTACGTGCTCACGTCTACGCCGCCCTGAGACCACTCTTGCACAAACGGGTTGAGCAGTTTCTTCAGACGCGACATTGAGTGAGCGGTAGTTTCCGTATACTGAGATGCAATAGCGAATCAGGGAAATCACTAGTCCATCCACGAGCGCTGGTAGTACACTAATGGGGGGATACGATGTCTCGCATGACTAAGGCCGGCCAATAAGCCACTGTACACTTCGCTACCAACTGGTCATGACATGTGGTTCGTAAGTCAAGTGTCTGTCCATTACTACGCCATTTTTTTTTTACTCACGGAATCTCTTCAACAATCACACCGTTTACATTGATACACATTTTTAGTAGACCGAGTAGCATTTGACGAGTGCCGAGTATAATCAGTTGAGTCTTGCTAGAATTTACTTTGCATCTGATTTTGAGCGAACCAGAGAAACAAAGTGCATAGAGCCGATTTCATGCGCTGAACGAGTTGTGCAATGTCACATTTACATCCAGTAACCAGCATCTGTGTGTCATCGGCGAATTACGAGATGTTGACATCGCTCCCCGGACCAAAGGTCGTAAACATAAAGTTCGTAAAGGAAAATGTTCGTAAGCAAATGTTCGTATGCTAAGCTTCGTATCAGATAAGGTTCGTACGGGCTAAGTTTCGTCGCGTCTGAAGTTCGTAAAAGAAAAGGCTCGTACCTATAAGTAAATGTTCGTAAGCATAAGGCTCGTAAAGAAAAAAAGTTCATCGCTGTTGACATATAAGCTGAGATCGTTGGAGGAAACGTTTACACGAGGAGTCTGAAGGCTGAAACAGACTCTTTCCGCGTTCAGGAAATCGCATGCGAGAGCCTATTCAAATACATGGAAGCACGCTCGCATCAATCGCACGCACCTCCCGCAAGCGATTGAGGCGAGAAGAATTACAATGTATTTGAATAGGCTCTGGCATGCGATTTCCTGAACGCGGAAAGAGTCTGTTTCAGCCTTTAGCAAGGTGCCCTGATCGACGCCAATTGGATTTCTGACTGCGTTGGATAAGCGTTTACGTCCAGCGGAAGAGCACAGTCGACCCGCGCCCGTTGGGCGCGGGTCGTACGCACATAGCCGCGTATTGCCGATCCCTCACTGACTTTGGCTAGCTACGGCCTGACACCAACCGCAACCATACCAGCCAGAAGGCTCATAAACATCGGGCGCCCGTCGCGCCTCGAACCCCGGACTGTTATAACCTGGAACGCGTGCTCTCACAACGCGGAGTACAACGCTCTACTGACTGAGATACGGAACCGGCACGGCTACGGTTAATACGTATCCATCTACCTCACTCAAGTGCCACGATAAGATACGACAATCGCGACAATCTTACTGCTCCCAGACTCTCGCCAGCTTTAGTCGTCCCGAGCGCAGGCACCTCGCTGCTCCGATAACGGGCCCTCTCCGCGTTCTGTGACTGTATACTGTAACTGCTGTAACCGCGAGAGCTTGGCTCTCTGTGCCGCCCCGGTCGAGGCGCAACCCGCCACCCCGGCCTCACCATGTTGGAAGTCCTGAAGCCAATGAGCACGCACCTGAAGCTCTCCACGAAACCTCGTGGAGAGGGTTCGGTGTTCAAGCTTCACTATCGCGCCACCTTCGTTTTCATCATGGGCTGCTGCATCCTGGTGACGGCGACCCAGTACATCGGAGACCCAATTGAGTGTATGCCGGACAAAGACTCGATCCCGCAGAAAGTCATCGACACCTACTGCTACATCACGTCGACCTACACGATCCCGCGCTACTACGACCAGAAGGTTGGCGTCGGAGGTGTCCCGCACTGGGGTCTCGGTCCGGAGCTTCCTGAAGATGAAATCATCTATCACAACTACTACATCTGGGTGCCGTACATGTTGTTCATCCAGGCGATCTCCTTCTACATCCCTCACTGGGTGTGGAAAGCGGTGCAGACAGACAAAGTATACACAGTCCTGATGGGTCTCGACAGTCAGTCTCTGGATGAAACCGAGAAGAAGGACAAGGAACGGCTGTTGGTGAATTATCTAGAGCTTCACTTGCACACGCACAACATTTGGGCGGCCAAGTACATTTTCTGTGAAATCCTGAGCTTCGTCAACGTTCTAGTGCAGATCAGCATCACGAATGCGTTCCTCGGCGGCGAGTTTAGCGAGTATGGCCCTAAGGTGGTGCGGTTCCTCTGGGCGGACCCTGAGGACAGGACGGATCCCATGTATGCGGTGAGTTTTTCTTTCTTCTTTTGAACTTACCTCCAGCAACGGACGCCTGCAAATCCGGGAATCGAACCCAGCACCTCCCGCACCGTGGGTCGACGCCCTAACCGACTGCGCCACCGGAGCCCTATTGCAGGATATGCTGCCATCCGATGCCAGCGCATTTCGCGAGATGACGTCACACTTGTGGTAGTGTTGGAGTAATGGGCTTGTTGATGTCTCCATGGAAACCGAAATTGCCACGTGTGCTGGCAGCGGCTGGCAACGTGCCGTTGAAACACCACCCCAGGCCAGCAACCCGATAAGCGTTTCCCGTCCTTGCCTATACAAACTGAAGTTATCTGACTGACCAAGGCTTACTTGATGCATTCAATAGTGACTTAATGTAAAAGACAACTCAGAGGAGAACGTCTGGTCTGAATCATTTCATCGTCACCTGATGCACACGAAACTTCGAAACTACTGGATGGTTCGAGAAGTTTCGATCGAGATGACTTTGGCCTTCCGATCAATGTACTCGGTCACCAACTGAGCTGAGCAGTCACACCACTGTTGCTATCTTATCTTATATTTTTCACGTGTGATCTTCGAAAGCTTCTAAGCCGGACAGTTGTATCTTTGTGCGCTTAATTGCTCTTATCGCGTTCTTGCCGGAATCTAATCAACAGGTCACAACGATGAAGGACATAGTTAGTTATAACTTGTGCTGCTCACAAAGAAGAAAAGTGGATTGTACAGGCGTCTGAGTGACAAAGAGCAGTCTGCAGCCTGACCTAAGGCTCCTCGATTGAAATAAGGCTACGGAATTGATGCAAGAAACTATACGTGGTTAAAAAAATGGTTTTGACCATTGACATATATCTTGTGGCTAAACGTTATAGTGTTAGCAAATACTCTAAACGTTTTCAAGCGATCAAAAGTCACTTGTTTCGTAATCTATCCAATCATTGTGCGATCCAGGTACTCATCATCAACTGTCTTTCCCCCAGGTGTTTCCCCGTGTCACAAAGTGCAAGTTCTGGAAGTACGGTCCCTCTGGCACCGTGCAGAAGCATGATGCACTCTGCGTGCTGGCGCTCAACATCATCAACGAGAAGATCTACGTCATGCTCTGGTTCTGGCTGGTCATCCTCTCCATTCTCAGCGGGTTAGTTCAGTCATCAGTGTGTTATTTAACGTTGTTACGAGTGTTGTTCATAGTAGAATGTAGATGTGAATTGCCCCTGTGCTTATTCGCATTGTCAAATATGATAGAAAGGATTAAAAGTGTATTTTCGACTGGGCTTTAAGTCAGGGATGCAAGTATATTGCGTTTTATTATTATTATTTTTTAAAGACAATACTGCTCAGGTTATTTACGTCAGGTCAGGGGATGCAGGGGATGCATATACTTTGCGTTTTTTTTAGGCAATACTTCTCAAGTTAGTAACGTCTTATTTTTGGTATACGCCAAACCAGCTGTTAGAATTTCGAACGTTGTTGTTCGACTATGGTCTCACACAATTGCATCGCAGTACAAGACTAAATTACTAAGTACTAAATTCAGCCAACTATATTCACTTCGTTCTGCTTAGTCAGGCTTAGCACTGCAGAACCTACTGCCACTCCACAGAGATCAGCCATATAGGTATAGCGTTCGCCTTAGTGCCTATGTCAGCATTGCAACTATCTTATCCCGCGCCCCGTAGGGCTACGGGCGGACCGTACCACCCGTAGGGGGGGGGGGGCGTTTCGGCCCCCTAAGATCTCGGAAATTCACCGGCCGATTTTCAAACTTCAAAAGGCGTTCGATAGCCCCACCAGGGAACTACCTTGTGATTAAATTTCATTGACCTATGTCAAACCGATGACGTCACAGGTCAGGTCAAAGGTCAGATTTTCACCATTCACAGGCATTTCAAGAAAAGTGTTGTAAAATCAAGCAAATTGGTAAGTTATTGAAAACCATCGATGGTACATTGTTCGTCAAACACATACTTCGCTATCTGAGGTCACTGATACCGGGTCAGGTCACAGAGGTCAGGTCACTGGGGGTCACAATATGAAAGTGTCGTGTGATACACGTTTTATGGTCCATTTTACATGACAAATGCAATTATGTTGGTCAGGCAGCCTTTGGGGCCAGCTTAGGTCACGTTTTGGTGAAGGTCAGGTCAAGGTCAGGTCAAATTAGGTCAAATTTCAAAGTTAATATTTTTGCATAAAATGGGTATCCATTCGATGCAGCTCGTCACGGGGAGTCCAATGGTGATCTTTGTTTTGCCCTACGTGGTCTAAAATTGCCAAAAATTGAGTTTGAAAATTTGACGTCATCATTTTTGAACAGTTTTTTCGCTATAACTTGACCAAAAAACGAGATATCGATCTGAAATTTGGTATGTAGATAGAAGACGGTAGCTACTATTACATCTATTCCGTTTTTTGAAACTCAAATTTTTGGATTTTTCGGCTAATATAAAAAAAATTGCATTTTTTATTTTTGGGGGTCTAAACTCAAAAATTTCAGAAATCCGAGATAATGGTTTTGTAGCCCTGTCAATTCTACACCTTTTATGTCCTGATTATTTTTCTGTATCTTCAAAGCTGTAGGCCTGACAGGTCTTCTCGCGAAGGTCTTTTTTCGGTCGAAAATGACAGAACATGACGTCATTCTGACGTCATTTGTGGCCAGCCTATCATAGCCTCTGGAAACAGTTTTGGTCACATTGTGTAAAATTGATGCCCGGAGGGGTCCTGAAAGTTTGGTGGCGATATCTCCAGCCGTTTAGGAGATATCGACGGAAAAGGACAGGGGGGGCGTTTCGCCCCCCCCCCCACGGGGCGCGGATTGTGTGGTGAAAAGACCCTAGATTGTTTATCGGATGATCTTTATCGAAATGTCCAGACGATTTATTATGGATCAGTGCACGAGTGAAAGCCATGAATTATGTGTGCCCTATTCGCATGTTGACCGAAGTAGCATTAGGTACTTTTTAGAGTGAATAAGTTAGAACGCAGTAAGTATACAAAACCAAATATTTAGATTTATAGGTCGCTTTACGAGTATATCACATGACTTATAGGCCCGGGCTCCGATGAGGGCTTAGCAACACAATATACATGTAAGATTTAAGAGAACCATTATGTTCTTTTAAACAAATGTGGAGGTACATGTCGGTTATAGTCTCTGGCTTGCACGTGTGTGATTTTTGTCGCCACCGGTGTATGCTGAACGCTGTGCTACAGTCACAAAGTGTCGGGCCGCAGTGGCATTATCATTGGACAAATATAGGGCGACCGTTGAGAAAGGCACACATGTGGAGCGATTAGGGCTGGGCTGAGAGGCCCGCGCTCCACTTCAAACACCTGACAACATGCCGCTAACGCCGTTATAGAGGTGCGGCGAGACCAGAATGTGGGACACATTGTGTGAGGGGGAGCATGAATTTGCATAGCAAGAACAGTGCTAAAAGAAGGCATGCAGAGCAGGACTGGAAAAGTTTGTTTTCGATCGATCAGTAATTTACCCTTTCCTTTCGGAAAATGTTTACCAGCATCACTATTTTACATGTTTTGCTGAAATTTAGACAGTACCTTTATTTATTGCAAAACTGAATGAAAGGCAGTCTATAACAAAAAAAAACGTCTACTTCAAAGCTTTCTCGAAGAGATTTAGTCGGCAAATGACTTGCTGCTGCATATCAAAGCGCTGCCCCGCCCTGTTAGAGAATGTTAACACTATAAAGCGGAATGCCTCTTGCGAATGTCAGATATGGAACAATCAATCATTGTCCCGTCAAGTGGGTATCAATCTCCATACTTGGCGATGTCTACCAGATAAAGGAAAAAGTATGGCTGCTGCTAACCGGGCGTGGTTCAAGAAGGTTCGCCATTATAGGAATGGAAATAGTAAACCTATTATAGCATAAGCGAATGAGAACTTATTCCACAAGAAATCGTTCGGGCCGAGGCTTTCGCGTTGTGTTTGCAAAACTTGGTCAGCGTGACGTGTCCGTGTACCGGGGAAATCGGTAGCAAAATTAACCCAAACGATTTCTTGTGGAGTAAAGACCTCATTTACTCATAGCATTCACAAACTCCACATCATGTCCTTATACATAGAAGATATGATTCAGCTAGAGTACTGAGTTTGCATCATTTGTATTAGTGACGTCAGTAGATGTAACATAATGACACCGAAAGTCTGAAGTCATGCTCACGTGTTGCAACTGACTGCCTACGCGCTACTGCACTTTGGCCGGCGACGAATGAAGTGTTTCTAGAATGTGACCGAGTGTATGCATGTCTAACTATGACTAGGCTCTGGTGATGTCCGCTCTTGGTGTGTACCGCCAGATTACAGCTCGTGCAGTTTGCATCACTAACCCAGGAAAATGCGACCCTTAGACGGAAATCAGTCACATCCGGTATTATTTCTAGCAGGTTGCAATGTGCAACGTACGATGCATGCATTGAGCACTGAGCAGTGTGCAGTGTGCACACAAGTTTCCGTTTCATGTTCGATACGCTATCACACGATAAACGTTCATACATACACCTGTTTTACCAGGATAGACTAAGTAAATATAATTTTTTTGCGTTTTTTTGTAACTTCCTTGGTAACCTTTGGCAAGCTTCTGTAGTATGTTTAGTTTTACTGTTCTTCCACAAGGCTCGTATATACGCAGGGACGTATCCAAGGGGGGGGGGGCGACGGGGGCGGTCGCCCCTCCCTGGGCCCGCTTTTGGGCGTAGCCAGGAACAGTTTGGGGTCGGCAGGGCCAATGAAATCGGAAGGGCCTGTTCAGAAGGATTTGTTCGAGCCTTCGGGTTCAGTGATGGGCCCCTGGGGCCCTGCCGGGCCACAAACAGGTTCGTAACTGGGCCCTTCGGCCCCACTTTTGGGCAGAGCGAGGGCAATGTAATGCCCGGCAGGGCCCCAAAGGCGGAAGGATCCGTTCAGGAGGATATGCTCGAGTCTTCAGGCTTGAGGAAGGGCCCCTATGGCCCTGCCGGGCCCCAAACCTTATCAATTTTGGGCCCCAAACCCTTATCGGCCCGAAGGTCTGTCTTTTGACCTTATTGGCCCTGGAGAAGTTATGGAAAGCGGATCCGAAAAAAATCATTTTCCGGGCCCAGTCACAGGGACATCTTGGCCTCTCCGGGCCCTAGAAGTGGAAGGGCCCGCTGAGAAGATCTTGTCCAATGTCCTGGCTTTCGGGTTCAAAAATGGCCCAGTGAGGCCTTGCTGGTGCCCATACGGGTCCCTGGCCGGGCCCCAAAAGCGAACCGGGCCAAGCCAATGACAACCTGGGGCCCGGGAGGTCTCCAAAGGCGGAAGGGCCCGCTCAGAAGGCCTTGGACCAGGCTTTTGAGCTTAAGTGATGGGCCCTTGGGCTCGACAATGTATCACGAAAACGGGCCCAGATATGCGCTTCTGGGCCCGGTCTCAGAAACAGCTTGTCAGCTTGTATATACAGTTCTCCAACAAAATGAGCTCTTAAGTTCGTAGTACTATAAGCATTCTGTACAGAACGTATCATTTCCAATTGAAATGTTTTTTTTTCTTTGTACTGCTCACTGAACTGATTTTAACCCTCGCCGGCACAGGCCATTTTGCGTCCTTCGACGGCACAAGGGGGGGGGGGGGTTGGTACGACCCCTCCCCCTCGCGTTTGGCCCCTGATCGAGCTAGAGCTTCGCGGAAAAAATGAGCGTATTGCCCGTCACGAGACGAAGCCGATAATACACAATTTTAAGGTCCTAGGTCATCGGGTGACCTTCCAGGTCAGGTCAATGACCCGAAAACCGGGAAAATCGGGACCTGTTAGAAAGTCGTAAAGCGTGGCTGCTATGTGGTTTTCCGGGGTGCTGATCACGAATATCGTGTTAGTTTTGATCATAGATGATGTCTTTAAGCATTTAGACCAGGTCGGGTCAGGTCAGGTCAGGTCAACCGGTAGGGGTTGTGACGGGTATTCGTAATACGTGTCAACCGCCTCTGACAGCTTCTTAACATGTTACGAAGGCACCGAAACTACTTCGTAAATGTTCAAATGGATGCTAAATTCGAATTCAGCTCCAAAAACTAGCCTAGAAACATGTAAAACTCGAAAAAGTGAACCGAGGTCACCCGAGGTCACCAAAGGTCAATGACCTGACCTGACC